GCCGCGGCCTGGTAGGAGTTGTTCCGCGGACCGGTACCGGTCCGCGGACCGGTGGTTGGGGACCCCTGCTCCAAAGGGATGCAAATGACCAGCTGTCTGCAAGGAATATCAGTCCTTCCATTCCCCCACTATCTTGCCAGAGCTGAAGAAGCTTCTTGGATGAGAAGCAAAACGTCTTTAAAGCAAAAACAAGGAAGTCCAGCTGCCTCCTGAAAAAGCACATGAGGAACAGGATGGAAAGAAAGGAGATTTTTGTAGGAGCTTCTTGGGAAGAGGGAGAAATCTTGTAGAGGTAGCCCTCACCGTACAACCGTTCATTTAGTGACCGTTCAAAGTTACAACGGCACCGAACAAAGGGACTTATGACCATTTTTCACATGTACGACTGTTGCAGCCTCCCCATGGTCACATGATCAAAATTCGGCTGCTTGGCAACAGTGGCTCGTATATATGACGGTTGGAATGTCCAGGGATCTTCTGTGACCTTCTTACAAGCAAAGTGAATGGGGAGGCCAAAGTCACTTAACAACTGTGTTAATAACTTAACTGCTGCAGTGTTTCGCTTAATGACTGTGGCAAGAAAGGTCGTAAAACGGGACATAATTCACTTAACAAATGTTTCGCATGTGGTCATACGTCTCCTCTTCTTTTCTTTTCTTTTTTTTAATTTGTCCTGAAAAGCCAAAGAAAGTTAAAACCCCCAAATAGTGAGGAAAGGCACTTGAACACATCAGGACGGCATTCGTCCACATGAAGTTAAGTAATGCCAGTTTAATCCGTTCAGCCACACAGCCAGGTAGAAGGGCTACAGCTCCATGGTAAAGGAAGGTTTAGGCAGGGGTGAGCTGCTGGGGCTTGCAGTTCGGAGAACCCCCAAATCCCACTCTTGGTTGGCCCTGCCCACCCCTCCCCGCCCCTCCCCGGGGTCTCCAGGTGGCCCTTTATGGATGCAGGTAAGTGCAGGGCCCACTCAGAGACTCAGGGAGGGCGAAAAATGGGCCTCCCAGAAGTTCGGGAAGGCCAGAAATGGGCCCGTTTCCGGCTTCCAAAGAGCCTCCGGAGCCCAGGGAGGCCATTTTCACCCTCCCGGAGGCTCGAGGAAAGCCTCCGGAGCCTGGGGAGGGCAAAAATGCCTCCCCCCCCATGCCATGGTGCAGGAGGCTGACTAGGCCACGCCCACCCAGCAATCGGGCAGAGAACCCATTGCTAAAAAAATTTGAAGCCCACCCCTGGCGTTTAGGTCAGGGGTGTCCAACCTTGGCAACTTTAAGACTTGTGGACTTCAATTCCCAGAATTCCCCAGCCACAAGTCTTAAAGTTGCCCAGGTTGGACGCTTCTGATCTAGGCCGTGGATTATGTGTGTTATAACTTTTAAGCGAAATCACACCCGTTCCCATTTCACCAGTGGCAAAGAAAGATTGAAAACAACTAATCCTAGTTTTTAAACGTGGGCTGGCTCATCAAGCCATTTTCGATACTTATTTTTGCAGCTGTATCCAAAATGTATTACGCTTTCACGAAAAAAAAAAGGTTATGCATTGCATTCCTTAAGCTATGTGAAGCTATGCGAAAAGCGGCAGGGTTAAGAATATTGAAAAAAATGCATTTCTGAATCTGCTCACAATCCGTAAATTCAGTGATCGCAGATCCATTTCTCTAAAAAAAGTTTACAAGCAGGACATAAAGGAGTCACTGTTCCCAGCATCTGTTTCTCAAAAACATATCTAGGCAAGTTTGGGGTAAACATCACATTCAGCACTGGTTGTTTTTTTATCTTGCATGAATATTTTGTTAGCCTGCCAAGGCTGTGACCTCCCAAAATGATAAAGAAACATCAGAGCAGAAGAACAAGGAGTATTGAAACTCAAGTTCATTGTAACCTCGGTGAAGCGCTTTCAAGATTTGTTTGAGTATCTCTGCAGAAGAGGAAGATTCAGTATGACTAGTCTCGTGAAGAAAAGGACCAGGGGAGACACGATAGCACTGTTTCAGTATTTCAGGGGCTGCCCCAGAGAGGAGGGGGTCAAAGCTATTTCCCAAAGCACCAAAAGGCCAAACAAGGAATAATGGATGGAAACTGATCAAGGAGAGATTTAATCTGGAAATAAGGAGAAACTTTCTGACAGTGAGAGCAATCAACCAATGGGACAGCCTCTTTCCCCAACCTTCCTGAGCTTGCACACCACTGCAGCACCCCTCTGCCCCCCAGACTTGTGCACAGCCAATACAAGGCCACTCAGGGTTTCCCAGGGTCTCCCCCACCACGTGGTACCCCACACGCTTTCCCCTGGGATTGTCCACACTTCCACTGAACGACCTGCCTCGATTTCTGTCCCTAAGAGAGGCAGTCATGCATCGCTTAACAATAGCAATAGCACTTTAAGGTGCTTTACAGCCATCTCAAAGCGGTTTACAGAGTCAGCCTATGGCCCCCAACAATCTGGGTCCTCATTTGACCCACCTCGGGAGGATGGAAGGATGAGTCAACCTGGAGCCTGGTGACATTCGAACTGCCCAAATTGCAGGCAGCCGGCAGTCAGCAGAAGTAGCCTGCAGTACTGCACTGTAACCACCGAGCCACCATGGCTCATGGCAATTCCAGTCCCAACTGCAATCATACAACCACAGTTGAGTCCAACATTTCTGTCGCCAAATGAGACAATTGTTGAACGAATTTTGCCCCGTTTTATCACCTTTCCTGCCAACGGTGATTAAGTGAATCTCTGCCGTTGTTCAGTTAACAACACGGTTGTTAAGTGAATATGGCTTCGCCTTTGATTTGCTTGTCAGAAAATTGACCGTATTATCCTCAGGACCCTGCAACCGTCATAAATACGAGCCAGTTGCCAAGCGTCTTAACTTTGTTCCCATGACCGTGAGGAGGCTACAACAGTCATAAGTGCGAAGAACAGCCATGAATTCCTTGTCAACTAAAAAATACTCCTTTGGTCCTTTTAGTTGCCAGCAGAAAGGGAGTGGGGGGAAACAGTGTGTTCCTTAAATGCCTCAGATAATCGCCTTGGCAGCCGAAGCTGTTGGCACGCAAGATTATTACTGGAGAGTATGACTGATGACTCTTGGCTATGGAAATGTCTCAATGGAGAATATACATCCTGGGGGTAGGGGGAAGACCAGGGTCAAGGGTGAAATGAATGATGTGTCTCAGAGTCGGCTTCTACCAGGAAATGCCAACATGTCAACTCCTAATAAATCAATCTTTTTGACTCTGAGCGATGCGGCTAGAGACTTATGATTTGAATGGGGGTACATGTTGGAACCCTGGCATCCCTTTTTTCAGTGCCGTTGTAACTTCAAATGGTCACTAAACGAACTGTTGTAAAGTCGAGGATCACCTGTATATGGCTATTGCTAAATGGACTCCGTTCAGCGTCCACTGGCCATGACTGGGGGGAAATTGGAGCTGTCCTCCAATCTATCTGGAAAGCACCAGTTCAGAAAAAAAAAAGGCGTTTGAAAGATTAAAAACCCATCTTAAATCGCCCTTGAAAACCCCTGTGCCATGCCAAATCAAGGACGAATAATAGGCAGCTTTGAAAGCCAGCTCCTCTTAAGTCTCCCTTTCTGCTGATGAAACAAATCAAAAAGTCCTGCCAGGAAGAAAAGACGAGTCAGGAGTGGAACATATCTCAAACAACATCTAAGAAGCTCGGTCTTGTTCAAGGTGGGAATTTGATCCTGCGTCAAAGGAGAGGCCACGGAGCACGTGAACTATAAACATTGCTCAGGGATGACATTAGAGGCGCAACCTCAACCTGCAGATCGCTTTTCTCTTTTGAACAGCCTTCCCTTTGCCGTCTCTGCTACTACTACCCCAGGTTCTTTTCATGCCACTCCATGCCAGGGTCTTCCTCGCTGGGGAGCCAGAGAACGCATCTTCCCCTCCCTCGCTTGCCAGCCAAACTGTGATCTCCGTTATGCTGGGTTAATTGCTGGCAGTGCTAAGCCGGGAGATTGCATTTGGCTCTTTCCAGCTTCAAACCACTTGAGTTTTTCAACATGGCTTAGCTGCCAACAGTACCCACTCCAAGTTTAACCCCGTGTGAAATCTAAATCCCCAAAAAGCCTTCTTGGAAGGAGCACCAATTTCTCTATCCCTTTTCTCTCTCGTCTACCCCATTCCCATCCCTTCGGCAAAAAAAAAACCCGGATAAAATTAGCAGATAGAGCTTCCCTTATTAAATGTTGGCCTAGCAGCAATACAATATTTGGGATACAATCATATGATTAATCATAGTTCAACTCATCCGTCTTTGCCCTGGGCATCACACATGGGATTATGAACGGTTCCCTTCTCTCCTGCCCCATAAATCCCTTTATGGGTTATTGTTCTTTTTATGTTATCTCTAATTGAGGTTTCTGAGGTGTGTGTGTGTGTGTGTGTGTGTGTGTTTACGGTGGCAAATTGCTCTGAGCTGCCAGGAAAGACGGCATGAATCTGGCTTTTATTTTTACAACAGCCTAATAAAGCCCAGTAGCCTAAGAGAGGATGTGCCAGGCTTTAAAAAAAAAAGAAAAACCTACAGGTAGTCCTTGACTTATAATCATTATGACCAATCCTCACACTTACGACCATTGCAGTGTCCTATGGCCCCTAGGCGCTTGGCAACTGGCATGTACATAAGTGACCTGTCGGCTGCCGGCCCCTCCAGCAGCCAAATCAGATGAGGAGAAGGCATGGGAGTCAGGGCTAACATCAAGGCAACCTGAGAGCTCTGAGGAAGAAGAGGGAATGGAACCGGCAGAGGGAGACAGAGGCGGAGCCTGGGCTGTCCGTCAGCCCTCAGATGGAGAGTCAACAGCCCCCAGGTCTGGAGGTGACTGGTGAGGAAGAGGAGGAACAGCTGTGTCCAGTACCTGATGTGTGGATGCGCAGAAGGCAGAGGAGAGGAGAGCAGTGGAAATCTATGGGCCGGTCCTTGGGACGGAAGATCCACCCCCGCTAGCAAAGCCCCACCCGAGCTCTGGGGACAAAAGGCAGGGGGAGGAGATGAATAGGTGTGACAGACAACTATTCATGTCCCGGCCGGCCGGACTTGTTAGCCTGCATTGAGAGAGATGGGTGGGGAGGGGGAGGCAGAGAATCCAAAAAACTCAAAGCAAAACAACTGAAATAGACTAATAGGATTACAGAGAGCAAAAACTGCCAATCAATGGCATTCTAATTTTAAGAGCATAAGCCGCTCTTAAAATCATGTTGAAGGGGATTTCGAAATATTATATTCTCATTTCCCTCAAATGCTTCTTTTTTTTAAAATCCCTCTGAGGCTTTAATCTTTTTCTCCCTCCAATTGATATGGTGCGGAATAGGTGACGCGATAAGAGTATTCCAGTATTCGAGGGGCCGCCACAAAGAGGAGGGGGTCAAATTATTCCCCAAAGCACCAGGAGGCAGGACAACAAGCAATGGGCGGAAACCAATCAAGGAGAGAAGCAACTTTTGGAATTAAGGAGAAGCTTTCCAACACTGCGGACAATTAACCAGTGGAACAGCTTGCCACCAGAAGTTGTGGGTGCTCCATTACTGGAGGTTTTTAAGAAGAGACTGGACAGTCACTTCTCTCAAATTGGATAAGGTCTCCTTGCTTGAGCAGGGAGTTGGACTAGAAGAATGGACAGGTTCCATTACGGTCAAAAATCAAGGACTACTGTAGAATGACCAGATTGGTTAGATTCATAAACTCTCCTGGCCATAAAAGCTGGAATGTTCAACCATGTGGAGCCCCAGAGTAACAATAGATGCAGCCCCTCCTGGAATCTCAAGAGGGTCTTCTATGGCCCTCGTGAGATGAAAAGAATGGGGAAGCCATATTATGAAACTCTGAAGCCAGACGTTGGGAGAGAATCTTCTTGGTCTTCCATAAAGCTGTAAACACGGCATAATTCTGAGCAGCTTTAAGTACAGATGATGGACCTCTAACTGGCTGACCTTGTGGATCAAAGGTCTGGTTTTGTTAATTTTACTGATTTATTTCTGTTGTACTTCCAGCCTCCTAAAGGCTTTTTGAAGCAGGGCAATACATCAATGTTTTCATCAATCAGTCAGTCAGTCAAGTTCAGTGGAACGTGTCCATCAGTCTTAACAGGGAATAACTCAAATCAAGGGGATTTGAATTAGTCATGGTTTTAATCAGCTCCGACTTGATTTCTGGCATTAGACTTTGCATCCAAGGTTCTGTATCATCCACACTTTGTCTCAATCTGGTCCATTTTAGACATGGTGTTTGCAACTTTCCTATCCGTTGGTCATGCTGGTTTATAAGGGGAGGAATATATAGGTGGTACACAACTTTTAATAATTAACTCTAGTGACTGTTTGAAGTTACAACAACCAGGGGTGGGATTCAAAAATCCTCGGGCCTCTGGCAGGGCGAAAATGGCCTCCCCTGGGCTCCGGAAGCCCTCCGGAAGCCAGAAACAGGCCCGTTTCCAGTCTTCCGGACCTTCCGGAAGGACTGTTTTTCACTTTCCCAGAGCCTCCATGCGGACCCTGCGCTTACCTGCATCCAAAATGGGCCAGGTGGAAACTCCTGGGAGGGGCGGGCTGGGAGGGCCCCTCAACTATCGGTTCAGTGAACCAGATGTAAATTTAACATCCGGTTCACTCAAACCGGCCCAAACCGGCTGAATCCCACCCCGACAACCACACTGAAAAAAGTGACTTAGGACCATTTTTCACACTGATAACCCCTGCAGCATCCCCGTGGTCATGTGATCCAAATTCAGAAGCTTGGCAACTGACTCGTATTTATGACGGTTGCAATGTTCTGGGGTCACGTAATCCCCTTTTGTGACCTTCTTCCGATGAGCAAAGTCAAGAAGGAAGCCAGAGTCACCGAACAATCGCGTTATTAACTTTTGCAACTTAACAAAAATGTCAAGGAAAGGCGGTAAAATGGACAAACCATTTTACCTAACAACCTTAACAACCATCTTGCTTAACAATAGAAATGTTAGGCTACTTTGTGGCCACAAGTGAAGGACTTCCTGTATTTGGAGAAGGCTGAGGTACCAGTCTAACTGTGGAGTCCTTGGTGATTTCTGAGTTTGGTTGTTTTCTTACAGATGTTTCTTTATCCAGCTAGGCAACATCTACAGTGCTAGAAGAGAGTGGGGTCTGTTCCCTTTTTATCTATAGTAGCTTGCCTTGTCTTGTTAGAGGTGTTTTTTTCTCCTTGGTAAGTTCCTGAATTAAGGTATTGGTTCCTCTTGACTATTTGTTCTAGTGCTAATCCTGGAATTTATCCCTGTTTATCTGCATGTTGTTCTGCTGGCAAGCAGGAGGTGTTCTGAATTTTTTGTTTCCTTTGTAGCTTTTTTATTGTCTCTTTTGTTTGTATATATGTGCCTGCTAGCACTGGAGAGGTTTACCTAGTTGGGGGAGGAAAAGTCAGCAAGCAAATAACCAAGTTCAGGGAGGACCAAGAACTCCATAGTTAAACCGTGAGTTACAGAGATTCCCTTCTGTTGAAACCAGACGAATTCCAGAATCACATGAAGTACATGCTGGGTTTTTAAATGCAAGTATTTTCACTCCAGATTGCCTTAGGCCTGCCAAGTCTTTATTTAAAAGAAAGAAGATTGAAGAATAATAACCTTATAGAGCAGAGTGTGCAATCTGCCGTTGATATCAAACAGTAGAAAAAACTGCGTAGACGTGGGTGGCTAAACTTGGAAACTTTAAGACCTGTGGACTTCAATTCCCATGGCTGGCTGGGGTATTCTGGGAGTTGATCGCCACAAGTCTTAAAAGTTTCCAGAAGTGGTAGGATTCAAAAAAATTTACTACCGGTTCTGTGGGCATGGCTTGGTGGGTGTGGCAGGGGAAGGATACCACAAAATCTCCATTCCCACCTGACTCCAGGGGAAGGATACTGCAAAATGGCCATTCCCTCCCCATCCCACTAACCTGCTTTCCAGCTCCCTTCTCCTATGCAGGGCAACCAAAGAAGACCCAGCCAATCAGCTGGGACTTGGGAGGTGGAGAATAGATGGGGGCGGGGCCAGTCAGAGGTGGGATTTGCCGGTTCTCTAAACTACTCAAAATTTCCACTACTGGTTCTCCAGAACTGGTCAGAACCTGCTGAATACCACCTCTGGTTTCCAGGGTTGGACACCCCTGCTCTAGAGAATTTGGTGTCTGTCAATATTTATGTCTAGGGCAAATGACCCACATTTTTGAATCAACATCTGGGGGAGAGGGGGAGAGGGAGGGAGAGCTGCTCTATTTTCTTTCAAGAGCTGCAAGATAACAAACCTTCTGCTCTAATCCCATTTAGATAATTATTTCCCTTTCTTATCCTGGCAAGCACCCAATAACCTGCTAGACACTTAATCATCATTAATATCGAACCTTCCCTTTGCTGCCTGAGATTAGCAACTTCAAGATGGGAGGAAGAGAGCCAGGTTGAAGGGCTATACAACAACTTTGTGAGCCCAGCTCCATGGAACACCATCTTCACCACTCTGGGTTCACCATGGTTGAATTAGAAAGGACCCACTGATGCTGTAAATGATTAACTGGGACAATTTTAGTACTTGTGAATACTATTTATCTCAGCCCTGGCACCTTCCTTTAGTGTACCTCCTGCTTTGGTGCTTGTCCTGCAGTTTCTAAATTAGCCAGATATACAAGAACGTCTGAAAACAGAGAAGACACTAATGATTAGAATACCTTATACTACCAGGCTTGAAATTTTGGACCTGGACAACCTAGAACTACGCCGCCTATGGTCTGACCTAAGCTTAGTACACAAAATTGTCTGCTACAACATCCTACCTGTCAACGACGACTTCAGCTTCAACTGCAATAACACACGGGCAAACAATAGGTATAAACTCAAAATAAACCGCTCCAAACACGATTGCAGAAAATAGGACTTCAGCAACAGAGTGGTCAATGCCTGGAACTCACTACCTGACTCTGTTGTTACATCCTCAAACCCCCAAAACTTTAACCTTAAACTGTCTACCATGGACCTCACTCCATTCCTAAGCAATCTTTAAAGGGGCGTGCATAAGTGCACCAGCGTGCCTACCGTCTCTGTCCCACTGTTCCCATTTATGCATACTCATTTATTATGTATATACTTATACCTGTTTATACTTATATGTTTATATGTTATGTTCATACTTATATGTCATGCTCCAGTTGGAATCTGATTCCAAGGGAGAGGTGGAACAGCTGACAGGGAGTGGGAGTGTGGCTCCGGTGGCTGTGGAGGAAACTGGGGAAGGGCACAGGCCGGCTGGGCATTCAGAGGAAGACCCAGGCCCACCCCCTCTTCATCCTAGGGCATGCAGGGAGGAACGGATAAGGGAGCAGCATGGTTTATGGGAGAGGAAAGGGCCCTGATCCCCTTCATGGGCTGCAGCTGGAAAGACTGTTTAAAAGGGCAAACTGTGCATGGCAAAGCTGCTGGAAGCAAAGCATGCATTATCTTTGTCGAGGCTTATCTGGGTTTTGGCATCCTCCCAACTGTGTGTGCCTCGTTATCTTTTGGAAGTCTGCAAGTTATTACCCTGGCCTGTCGTGTTAATTACTTCAGCATGGTTTTTGTTGGTTTTTTAATTTCTAAATTGGATGGATGGATGGACAGACGGACAAACAAGCAGAGGAACAACAGATAGTGAACAATCACAGCTGAAGCAGAAGAAAAAACATTTTGCCACCAGATGTAAATGAGCTAAGCTTGAGGGTTTGCATAGCATATTGGGCTAGGTCCTGATTTAACTATGGTTTATTAAATGACCACAATTCATTGTGTTTCAGCAGCATACTGAGCTATAAACGGGGGTAGGCTGCTTGGGATTCGCAGGGGTTCAGGAGAGCCCCTAGCTAAGATTCTGTGCAGTTCGGAGAACCTCCAAATCCCACTCCTGGCTGGCCTCGCCCGCCCCTCCCAGAAGTCCCCACACAGCCCATTTTGGTTGCAGGTAAGTGCAGGGCCCATGAGGAGGCTCGGGGAGGGCGAAAAACGAGCCGCTCAGAAGTTCGGGAAGGCCGGAAATTGGCCCGTTTCCGGCTTCTAGGGAGCCTCTGGAACCTGGGGAGGCTGTTTTCGCCTTCCTGGAGGCTCAAGGAAAGCCTCCGGAGCCCGGGGAGGGCAAAGATCCCCCCCATGGTGCAGGAGGCTGACTAGGCCACACCCACCATGGCCACACCCACCCAGCAACCAGGCAGAGAACCCATTGCTAAAATTTTAAAGGGCTTCAGCCATTGCGCTAGGCCCAAATCTGAAATCATATTACAATATGTAAATAAGGCCAAGGAAGCTCTTGGGGTTAATTTATCAAAAATTTTCCATTGACAAGAAAGTCTGCATTTTCAAAAAAAAAATCAAATATTTGCTAACCTTATACTAAACGGAGCATTTTCATTGTGTCTCACTGTTTCTCAGAACTTAAAAAGCGGGGGTGGGGGGGGGGCGTTCCTTTTTTCTTGAAAGCAAAGGGATTTTTTTCCCCCATCTCAGTTTAGATGCTATCTTCCCAGCCTGGGAAATTTTGGTTCCTCTTAATGAGATTCTTTTAACTGCCTTTAAATTCTCAGTGATGTTTGGCTGTGTGAAACTCCTCAGTTCTCTTTGAAATGGGGTGGTAAATCAACTCACACCTCAGGGCCCTGCCAGATAATCAGAAGTGTCAATTCATTTTATTTATTTTTATTTAATGTTTGTTAAATTTATATGGCTGCCTACCTTACAAAGAAGTGACTTGGGAAGTCTACAATTAGACTAGAAAAGATCATGCTTGCCCACCCCAATGCTCTGAGTTGATCCAGAAGGATATAGGATAACAGAGTTGGAAGGGACCTTAGAGAACTTCTAGTCCAACCCTCTGCACGAGCAGGAAGCCTTATACCATTTCAGACAAATAATTGTTCAAACTCTTCTTAAAATTCTCCAGTGATAGAAGACCAGGGGTGGGATTCTACCAGTTCGCACCTATTCGCTAGAACCGGTTGTTAACATTCTAAGCAGTTCAGAGAACCGGTTGTTAGAAGAAATTACTGGCCTAATCCTGTAAGGAAGGCAGGAAGGAAACATTCTGGTGTTGCTTACAGAAACTGCCTCTCCGTTAACCTTTATTACATTCTTGGCAGGACTAGACTTCCTGTCTCTGGAACTTCTCTGGAGTTTTTTCCCCTCCTTTGCTGGTACTTTGCTTGTGTGGAGTGACCATTCAAAGTTACAATGGCACTGAAAAAAGTGACTTATGACCATTTTTCACACTTACAACTGTTGCAGCATCCCCACAGTCTTGTGAGGCGAGGCGAGGAGATATGTGCCTCGATGTGAGTGATGTTGAGTTGGCCATGCCCAGCCAATTACATGACCACCAAGCCATGTCCACCCAGTCAGATTATCACCAAGCCACACCCACCACCTAAGCCACGCCCACAGAACCGGTTGTTAAAATTTTTGAATCCCACCCCTGTGGAGGACCCACAACTTCTGGAGGCAAATCATTCCACTGATTAATTGTTCTCATTGTCAGGAAATTTCTCCTTAGTTCTAGGTTGCTTCTCTCCTTGATTAATTTCCATCCATTGCTTCTTGTTCTACCTTGTCAGAGTGTTTACAGTGTAACTACTATTGTGAGACAATCCAGAAGCAAAACACAGGACACCGAGGCTTTGTCTTTTAACAGTGGTTTATATACAAGATTACTATATACTACATACAAGTGTTAGGCAAATACCAGGCAATCAATCAATCTTCAACTCTACACAGAGAACTATAATGGAGATAGAACACGAGGAGAGAGAGATGCCCCCACATTGTTTCCCTTATATAGACAGCTTCTTAAAGCAGCAGTACCCTGCTGACTCATCCTCAGTTCATCATCTTGGCTTACAGCCTTACATCAGCTGATCAGCTATTAAATCTTCATTACCCTGACATACCTTCTGATGCTTTGGAAACTAGGTTGACCCCCTCTTCTTTATGGCTTAGATATTGGAAGACTACTATCATGTCACCCCTAGTCCTTCTTTTCATTAAACTAAATATATACCCAATTCCCTTAACTGTTCTTGGTATGCTTTAGCCCCCAGCCCCCTACCACCGTCTAAGGTATCGAAAGTCATCAAGAGGTCAAGTGGAATTTAAGATGGTTGCACAACCCTCATGCTACTCTCACCAGAAACCAATGCCATTTCTATCCCATACAAGATCTGATTCTTGATTGAAAGAGAACCAGAAAATCCACTTCATTCAGGGTCCTCTGAAGCTGTAGAACAGTCTGCTTTCTCAACCAATAGTCACAAAAAAGGAGGTTCAATGCTGGACAAAAATAGTAAGGTCCAGTGATGCCTTCTTGGAGACCTTCTCCCAGGCTTCCTTCAAAGGCAAAAGAAACCTTCATTCAAAGAATTCACCACAAGCGGAACCCACTCACACAAGTGAAGAGGGATATGGATCTTAGATGGATGGGCTTGCACTCCCAGAATTCCCCAGCCAGCCTGCAAGGGAACCCTGGGAGATGAAGTCCACACATCTGAAAGTTGAGAAGATTTAACAATGAGCTGAACTCGCACCGTGAGGACCCTGTCCACTTCCTCATTCCAGGAAATACAACTGTGGGTTTTCCAGCTGCTCCGACAAAAAGTCAAAATAGGTGGCAACTGATCTGCCTTCTTGACATTTCGTCCCACCCCATCCTCCCATGGGCATCCTGTGCTCTCCTCTCCACATGCTCTCCATGAGAAGCCTTTGAGATCAACCAAGACCAGCCACGTATCGCCCTTTGTTGATGAATCCATAATGAAAACTGACATATTTAGGTTTGTACTGAGGCACAATAGATGTGTCTTTTTTTCTGAAAAAAACCCAATGCGCAACTTCCTTCTCTCACTATGTTGTTCTATGGGAAGTAAGAAACTAACAGGATATAGTTGACTATAAAAAAAGAAAGAAAGAGCAAAAGAATTTGTTCATTGTTTTCCTCCAGCGGCATCCGTTACACAGGCCATCCTGTGGTCTCTTGAGCCACACATTTAATTTATGATGACCACACTGTGGTCATCAGCAACTGACCACTTCTAGTCACAAGCCCTCACTGGCAACCCACCGCACATTTGCTCTGTGATGTCATCGAAGCTCAGAGTTTCTGAAAGACAACAGGAGATGCTGCAGGAACCTCTATGGTCATGATCTGTGGTCACTGATGGATGCTCTCTCTTCCCTTCCTAAGAGGTCAGGTCAGGATTTGTTTTTTTCCTTTCTTCCGATTACGGCAATCTACAAATATCTTGTTTGGTTTTTTAAAAATTTCACAAGGATCCAAAATCTACCTTGTAACAAGAGCCAGTTTCTGGCTCTGCTATGAATCCTCATCGTTCATGGTGGTACCCAGGGGTGGTATTCTACTGGTTTGGCTGAACCGGTAGCTTCAAGAATCATCTGTGAGCGAACCAGTTCGCTCCGATGGTCAGCTGCTGGGCGCGGCACAGCAGAATACCAATAGCAATAGCACTTAGACTTATATACTGCTTTATAGTGATTTACAGCCATCTCTAAGTGGTTTACAGAGTCAGCACATTACCCCCAACAATCTGGGTCCTCATTTTACCCACCTTGGAAGGATGGAAGGCTGAGTCAACCTTGAGCCAAATTGTAGGCAGCTGACAGTCAGCAGAAGTAGCCTGCACTCTAGCCACTGTGCCACAGAGGCTCTTCCGTGTGTCAGCTGTTGAACACACAGGGAGAGGATTGCAGGAGAAGGTCAGTATCAAACCCTCTGCATGCACACAAAGGGTGCCCACCAAGCCACAAAAAAAGTTGAATCCCACCACGTTCTTCCTGACTGTTGACTCTGTTGCAAGCAGGTTCGACAAGTTATTCAAAAAATGGGGTCTAAAGCCATCTCCCTAACAGTATTTACTACTACTATTTAACCAACCCACTCCATCTTCCTCGCTGTTGTACCGTGACCATCTCTTGAAAGAAGGTAATGGGTGATGTCCTTGGGCAGAAGGCTTCTATTTCTATTTCTTCCTTGGCGAAGGCAGCCAACGCTTTTTTTTTTTAAATTAAATTGTAAGTGCTAGGTTACGACTCCTGGTTTGCCCTCACAGAAGTCTGGTTCGATAGAACAGCAACTCAAATGAATGGGATTAAGTGCCGTTTTTATGGAATTGTGTTCTTGGGTTGTTTTTTTAATGTGGCTTTTCGCTAACTCCAAAAAAAAACAAACCCCAAAAACCCCAAAGCATGTTGTTTATTAAGACATCTTAAACGGATTGTTCTGTTTGTTACTGCAAGAAGCATTTGGGAATGCAATCTTAAATTGGAAAAGTGAGCTATGGGACCATCTTAAATGATAATGGTTAATGGTGATGGGCGTAGGATTCTATCCTCCAACCTGCCTCTGGTTGATCCTTGACACTGTAAAGTTAATGATATTTTAAACAAACTCAGTTTGTTTTTGCTAGCCAACTAGCCCGGAGTTAATATCTGGAGCTGATTTACCACAGCTACCAAAACCAAAGCTATTTTAACACTTTCATAATGCCCAAATGGACTGCCACATTAGACAGAAAGACTGCCATATATTATAGATATATTTTCTGCCGCCTTTTGGTTATATTGTTCATTCTGTGCGAATGAGGAGCAACTGACTTTACATGCAGTGATAAGCCACTGATAAGCCATGGTTTGCTGAATAAGCCACCATTTTACACCAGTGGGATTCAAAATGTTTTACTACCGGTTCTGTGGGCGTGGCTTGGTGGGCATGGCAGGGGAAGGATAGTGTAAATACTCAAAATTTCCGCTACCGGTTCTCCAGAACTGGTCAGAACCTGCTGAATACCACCTCTGTTGCTACATCATCACTTGTCCATTCTTGCTCCAGTTTATCAGTGGTGGGATTCAAATTTTTTTACTACTGGTTCTCTGGGTGTGGCCTGGTGGGCGTGGATTGGTGGGCGTGGCAGGGGAAGGATACTACAAAATCCCCATTCCCCACCTCACCCCACTAACCTGCTTTCCAGCTCCGTTCTCCTGTGCAGGGCAACAAATGAAGACCCAGCCAATCAGCTGGGACTCAGGAGGCAGAGAATAGATGGGGGCGGGGCCACTCAGGCGGTATTTGCCGGTTCTCCAAACTACTCAAAATTTCCGCTACCGGTTCTCCAGAACCTGTCAGAACCTGCTGAATACCATATCTGTACCCCATTAACCTGCTTTCCAGCTCCATTCTCCTGTGTAGGGCAACCAAAGGAGACCCAGCTGATCAGCTGGGACTCAATGGGAGGCAGATAATAGATGGGGGTGGGGCCATTCAGAGGTGGTATTTGCCGGTTCTCCAAATTACTCAAAATTTCCACTACCGGTTCTCCAGAACTGGTCAGAACCGGCTGAATACCACCTCTGATTTACACATAATTATACAGGTAGTCCTTGACTTACAACAGTTCACTCAGTGACTGTTCAAAGTTACAACGGCACTGAAAAAAAGTGACTTGTGACCATTTTTCACACGTGTGACCATTGGGGCATCCCCATGGTCACATGATCAAAATTCTGACTCATATTTATGACGGTTGCCGTGTCCCGGGATCATATGATCCCCTTTCGCGATCTTCTGACAAGCACAGCCAATGGGGAAGCCAGATTCACTTAACAACCATGTTACTACTTTAACAACTGCAGTGATTCACTTAAGAACTCTAGAGAGAAAGGTCATAAAATAGAGCAAACCTCACTAGACAACATACATTTTAGGCTCAATTATGGCCGTAATTCAAGGACTACTATATTAGATTGTCTGCTCCCTTTTGATTATATTTATTGTGTGTGAATGAGCAGCAGCTGGCTTCATATGCAGCGACAAACCATTGTTAGGGTTACCATGGTTTGCTGAATAAGCCCCATTCACACATAATCATACAACATTGCCATAATTCTTGGTGTAATGTATCTATCCTTGGTAGTATTGGGGGGCACTGACTTTGAAAATCTAAAATTACAGTATGGCAAGAAATATCTGCATACCAATTTGACTCCAGGATAGAAACTGGGAGATCCTGAATTCTAGTTCTTTGAGTCCAAAGCTAGGTGAGTGACCTTGGGACAGTCACCCCCTCTCAGGCCTAAGGAGGAGGCAATGGCAAATCAATTGCCAAAAAAAACCCCTGCAGGGACTTGCCTATGCAGTTATCAGGAGACAAGATTATCTGAAGCATGCATAAACCCCCACACACAAACACAGACACGAATCTACATCTATCTAGATTTTTATCTTTATAGATGCACACACCAACCTACTGTACAGCCATATATCCTTTGCGGATTTTACCCTGTTTTTTTAAAAAACATGCTTTTGATCCTTTGTCTAGCTGTGCCGTATTTTTGATGTGAAATGATCAAAGGCAAAAAAAAACCTTTGGTAAGTTTAAAAAAAAAAAGCGGGATGGCTGGGAGAGACGCCGAGGGGAATACGGGAGGAATCTATATTATTTTCCAGGCACTTGGCTCAACTGGGAAGAGATCCTTATATTTTTCTTTGAGTCAGGTGGACACTTCACCTTTCTCCCATCTAACTGAAGTCTGTTTTTTTTTTTTCAAACTTGGCAACTTTTAAGATGCGTAGACTTTGACCTCCAAAATTCCCCACCTATGGCAGAATCCAGGGAGTTGAGTCAACTTGTTCTCAAAGATCCGGTCTCAAACCGCTTTGCGTTTTAATAGAATACCGTGTGCACTTCCTCGTATGACAAACGGTAGGCAGATGCTTCTTGAACCAAAGCAAAAAGCGAGCATTCTTGGACAAAGTTCTGAAATGCTAGGGAAGCTGATAAACCTGTCTGTCTGTCTCTCTGTCTGTCTGTCTCTCTCTCTCTCTGTCTCTCTCTCTCTCTCTCATCTATCTACTGTATGTATCTGTCTGTCATCTATCTGTCTGTCTATCATCTATCTCTGTCTCTGTCTGTCTGTCTGTCTGTCTGTCTGTCTCTATGTCTATCTATCTATCTCTGTCTGTCTGTCTGTCTCTATGTCTATCTATCTCTCTCCTATCTACTCTATGTATCTGTCTGTCTCTGTCTGTCTGTCTAACATCTATCTCCATCTCTGTATCTCTCTATCATCTATCTCTATCTATCTACCTCTCTATAATCTATCTCTATCTGTCTGTCTCTATCATCTATTTCTGTCTGTCTGTCTGTCT